AATGGTAAACCAAGGCCGGCAGGCTGCAGGGTGAGCGTGCGCTAGCGGGGTTCTGCGGTTTGCAGAAGGCAGATCGTCAGAAGGAAGGGCGGGACGACCCGAGCGGGCATCAGGTGGTTCCTGCAGCGCGGCTGGGACCACACAGGCTGAATGTCCTATCAGGGCTCACTCACGCCATCTCTGAATCGCAGCGACCTCAGGCAAACAATTCACCCCATTTAGACCCAGATTCTCCTGACTATCAAATGGAAACCGTTTACTCGGGAGGGCATAAGCCGCTTTCATCATGCAGTGTTCGTGGCAAAAGGCCAAAGTTTTCATGAGGGAGCTTCCAGAAAAGGGTCTTGAGGTCAGGAGGGCAGCAAACCTGTTGGTGTCCATTACTCCCGACATTCAGAAGGGGGATTCATAGAACAGCAGGCTAGAGATGAACAACGTTTATTAAAAAAAAAAAAAAAAAAACTTAATACCCAGCCAAAAAATATTGCTAATGACCTTGATACACACGGTTAAAATTTCTGAATGAACTCTGAGCAGTCTGACTTTTAATCGCCAAAACACTGCTGAAAGCCGACTCATTTCCATCATACGCTACAAATCCATCATCAGGCCTCCTTTCTCTCTGCCTTGCCCCACACTGGAAAAGCACTGACTATTCCACCAGAGGACACTTCCCTCAAAATAACCGCAGTATCCTCTACCATCACATGCTTTTAGCGGCTACCCACTGCACTATAATCTAGGGATGAATTTCTGGTGTAGAAACAAAATAGCCATAATAAGATAAATACTTACAGTGCTATCCTGACCAGAGCACAGAGTAACTGACATGAAAACTAAATTTTTTAGAATTTCATATTTAGTATGCTCATTGAAGATGCTTGCTGTCCGTATACAATCTTGCTTCTGATAGCAGTTATTTTTTCTTTTTTTAGATTTTTTTTAACGTGGACCATTTTTAAAGTTTGTATAGAATCTGTTACAATATTGCTTCTGTTTAATCTTTTGGTTTTTTTGGCATGTGGGATTTTACCTCCCTGACCAGGGGTTGAGCCACCTGCATTGGAAGGCAAAGTCTTAACGCGGAAGACTTTAACACTGGACCACCAGGAAGTCCCGACACCAGTTGCTTTTTACCGGTACTTTTCAATAGTGCAAGCTTTTGAAAGATCATTGTGTTATAATGCACTGACACACCAATGCTACTGACTGAGTTTCCATTCTGCCACGTGATAGCACAAGCTTGAGCAAGATGCTAAATCTCTCTGTGCCTCAGTACGGTCATCCAAAAAATGTGGACAAAACCTGCTCCTAAATTACTGTAAGGGTTACATTGGGTGACTTGAGTTTCACAAGAGACTAGATTTAGTGACTGCCAAGTACATAGTCAGACCACCTGACCTGCCTCCTAAGAAATCTATATGCAGGTCAGGAAGCAACAGTTAGAACCAGACATGGAACAAAAGACCAGTTCCAAATAGGAAAAGGAGTACATCAAGGCTGTATATTGTCACCCTGCTTATTTAACTTATATGCAGAATACATCATGAGAAACGCTGGGCTGGATGAAGCACAACATGGAATCGAGATTGCTGGGAGAAATATCAATAACCTCAGATATGCAGATGACACCATCCTTATGGCAGAAAGGAAAGAAGAACTAAAGAGCCTCTTGATGAAAGTGAAAGAGGAGAGTGAAAAAGTTAGCTTAAAGCTCAACATTCAGAAAACTAAGATCATGGCATCTGGTCCCATCACTTCATGGCAAATACATGGAGAAACGATGGAAACAGTGGCAGACTTTATTTTCTTGGGCTTCAAAATCACTGCAGATGGTGACTGCAGCCAAAAATTAAAAGATGCTTGCTCCTTGAAAGTAAAGCTATAACCAACCCAGACAGCATATTAAAAAGCAGAGACATTACTTTACCAACAAAGGTCCATCTAGTCAAAGCTATGGCTTTTCCAGTAGTCATATACGGATGTGAGAGTTGGACTTTAAAGAAAGCTGAGCGCTGAAGAATTGATGCTTTTGAACTGTGGTGTTGGAGAAGACTCTTGAGAGCCCATTGGACTGCAAGGAGATTCAACCAGTCCATCCTAAAGAAAATCAGTCCTGGGTGTTCATTGGAAGGAGTGACGCTGAAGCTGAAACTCCAATGCTTTGGCTACCTGATGGGAAGAACAGACTCATTGGAAAAGACCCTGATGCTGGGAAAGAATGAGGGCAGGAGAAGACGGAGATGACAGAGGATGAGATGGCTGGATGGCATCACCGACTCAACGGACATGGGTTCGAGCAAACTCCGGGAGTTGGTGATGGACAGGGAGGCCTGGCATGCTGCAGTCCATGGGGTCTCAAAGAGTCGGACACGACTGAGCAACTGAACTTAACTGAAGTACACAGTAGCAATTTTTTCATATAAAGTACAAATCCAATTCAAAGGTATTTAATACTTTACCCAAAATTTTGCAATCTCCAAACTTAAAGACTGGCAGGCTTACCTCTTACAGCACTGGGGCCAACGCCCCCACTTGCTTCTTTCTCTTCCAACATACTAAAGTCTCACTATTCACAAGTGAGTTATGAGCATCAGCCCACCAAACGTTCTCTGAAGGAGTGAAGGTTCTTTCTCTGTAACCCAGAGAAAGTGGGCTTGTTTTCTGAGAAAATGAAATAGGCCAGAGCCCAGACCGGCAGATTCTAGTTAATCAGTACTAACTGCTAGGAGTTTTTTGAGGCTGATGGAGCCAAGACTGTGTTAGTAACAAACCTCAGGAAAGGAAAATTAAAGCTGCTTTACTCCCCAAAATATTCTCCTAATCTATCTTAACATGCATAGTTTAATTCTGTTTATTCACAACCATTTTTCATACCATACTTAATGAATTTTGTCTGATTAAGTTAATTTTAGAAGTATAAAAATGAATTTCATGCTTCTACTTCTATTTGTACCCACTTCAGCTCTGAGTATATTTTGTTTCCTGAAAACCTAACTCAATATCTTACCTTAAACCCAAAGGGAAAACCACTGGGTTGAACAAAAAGTTCGTGGCAATGTGCCCTGAGACTGTCCTTGCAGCCACAACCTACCACCACATCAAGAGAAGAATCTATCAAGATAGTCACTACGTCTTTCCAATAGCAGACAAGTATAAACTAAGTCAAAGGTGGTAACTAACATATTACACTTCTGAGTGCAGACACAAGATTCAGCTGCCAAGATTCAGTGTCCCCAAAGAGGAAACTTTCTGAGGACACTGCCCTTAATCGACCAGTATCTATGAAGATATCCAAAAGGGCATGGGAAATACAAAAAATAAAAAGAGTTAGATCTCTGCAATCCTCAAGGAGATTGAGAACTAGTTAAAGGCATAACAGTTCACACTCATATTTACTGGTCAAAAAAGTAACAAGTTAGGTCATCGGACTGCAAAGAAGAATAAGGCAGACCCAGCCCTCAGAGACCCCACACCCACCCTTGGACCGCAGCTGGCTGTGCCCAGGACCTGCACGAAGGTCTGAGAGACACAGGAGGCAGTGCAGGTCGCTTTTAGGGGCCATTATCAAGGCTTCCAGGGGTGCTATCAGTAAAGAACCCACCTGCCAACGCAAGAGAGGCAAGAGACCCGAGTTCGATCCCTGGGTTGGGAGGATCCCCTGGAGAAGGTAATGGCAACCCACTCCAGTCTTACTGCTTGGAGTCCTCGAAAAGAGTCAGACACATCTGAGCACACACACAAATAATAATCGGGGATTCGGTGAAGAGACCTGAGCAGGAAACGAAAGGAAGAGTTATAGTTTGAGTAAGAGGATGGAGTAGGAAAGAGGAACAGAAAATGTGTGTGCTCAGTCGTGTCTGACTCTCTGTGACCCCATGGACTGTAGCCCACCAGGCTCTTCCGTCCCTGGGATTTCCCAGGCAAGAATACTGGAGTGGGTTGCCATTTCCTCCTCCAGAGGATATTCCCAACCCAGGGATCTAACCCACGTCTCTGGCATCTCCTGCATCGGCAGGCGGGAAGCACAGAAGAACAGAAGACAGAATTGAATACAAGAGCATGCAGGTTGGCTGGCCAAAAGCACGTCTAGGAGTTGGTGAGTTTCCCACGTGGTGCAGTAGTGAAGAATCCAGCTGCCAATACAGGAGACTCGGGTTTGATCCCTTGGCTGGAAAGATCCCCCAGAGCAGGAAATGGCAACCCACTCCAGGATTCCTGCCTAGAAAATTCCACGGACAGAAGCCTGGTGGGCTACAGCCCACGGGGCCACAAAGATTCAGACACGACTGAGCGCACAAGCCCGCTGGCCAGAGCGAACCGGCTCAGATGAGGAAAGGGTCTTCCAACCAGGTTCCCTGTATTCCAGGCAGGGTCCCATAGACAGCAACCCTCATGCACAGTCTATGAAACATTTTAAATCTAGGAGAAATCATAACCAGTCAGGGAGTAATAAATAGAAATCAAGCTACATGACAACCTGAAGTCCTGCATTGCAGGTGATGCTTTACCACTGAGCCACCAAGGAAGCCCCAACACGTCATAAGCCACTTTCAGTTTCAACACATTCAGGCATCCTCTGCTCCAGTAATTCTTTCCCTTGTTCCCACCATTCTCTTGACCTCTGTCCTCTCACAGCCAACCCTCGAGAGGGTCTCTCACCCAATGGCGACACAGTTCAACCTCAGGCTGACCACGCAGATGTGGATTACCCTCCAAGGGGCAGCTCTGACCTCGTTGCTAAATTCCCAGAGTGGACTCTTGCTGTCTCCCACGTCGGTCCTTCCTCTGCAGTTTTACACTTGTTACCACCCTTCTTCACCCAGGACCTCAGACTTGAAGCCCTGTTTACCTCCCACCCCTCATTCACTCGGTTGAGTTTGGCTCTGGAACGCCGCCCGTGTTCACTCGACCCTCCCCTCCTCCCCGCCCCGGGAGGCCGTCTCCCCGTCTCTGCTCCGGCCCCCAGCGGCCTCCCCACCTTTGTCCTGTCCCCGCAGATCCACACTCACCGCGGCCAGAGTAAGTTTCCGAGAGCACAGCTCCACACCGCGTCCTCCCGGCCCCCACGTCATCAGTGGCTTCCTGCCAAAGGAATCCCAAAGCCCCTCTCCACCAACCACTCTAGTCCTCCCCCTACAAGTCCTGCTCACCCCGTACGTCAGTTGGAGAGCATCGTCTGTCCGGAAGACAAGCCCCCCACCTTCCACCTGTTCTGCAGAAATGCCACTGCACCTGCCCGCCTGTCCAGATGACTACCCACCTGTCCAGGAGTTGGTAAATGCCACTTCCTCCAGGAGGCCACTCTCCAGCAGGAAGCCATCTGTCCCCTCTGAATCCCAAGGCCACTTCATCCAGTTATCACCTGGCATTTGAGTCCCTTGCACACGCCGTGCTTCCTCCTGCAGCGGTAGCCTCCCATTCGTGTGTGTGAGCCACTCAGGCGTGTCCGGCTCTTTGTGGCCCCAGGGACTGAGGCCCCCCAGGCCCCTCTGTCCGTGGGATTCTCCAGGCAAGAACGCTGGAGTGGGCTGCCATTTCCTTCGCCAGGGGATCTTCCCAACCCAGGGATCGAACCCGTGTCTCTTACGTCTCCTGCATTGGCAGGTGGGTTCTTTACCGTCTGAGCCGTCAGGGAAACTCCCACCTCCCATATGAAAATAATCAAAACGACATGCTAAATTAGCACTTTCTTACAAGGAAGCATTTGTGCCGAGAGTTATAGAAGACACAAGACCATCAGCTGACAGCTTAGCAAGGAAATGATGCTCAACCTATGCAAAAAAATAATGCAATAACATCAATAACTCTTTTTAATTATCACATACAGATGTTAGTTGAAGTCATAAAAATACAGGACATCTCAGAGAAAGTGAGTCATCTTAACAGAATGGAAAATCTGCAGCAGATACCGCAGTGGCTTACACCATAAACTCTGGAGCCACCGATGGCCAGGTTCTAATCCCAGCTCTGGCACTTACTCCTCTGTGACCTTGGGTAAGTCACTTAGCCTTTCTGTGCCTCAATTTCCTGTAAATGAAGAAATTAAACTAGAGATAGTAATAGCAGCCCCCCCTTAAGACGACTGTAATAATGATCACATACTGTATCCAAAACACTTAAGAGCCTAACACAGAATTAGTGCCAACTGTATCAGCTTGCTACTGTTCACTCACTCAGCTGTGTCACCTCTTTGCGACCCCATGGACCGCAGCACGCCAGGCTTCCCTGTCCATCACCATCTCCCGGAGCTTGCCCAAGTTCATGTTCATTGCACTGGTGATGCCGTCCAGCCGTCTCATCCTCTTGACCCTCTTCTCCTCCTGCCCTCGATCTTTCCCAGTGTCCGGGACTTTTCCAATGAGTCGTCTATTGGCATCAGATGACCAAAGTATTGTATTAGCTGTTCTTATTATTATTATTGTGAAAATGTTTTATATGGTATGAAAAACAGAAGAACCAAAAATATCTGGTACTTAGGATGCCTAGCAAGATTTCTTCTAGAAAAAAGAGAGGCTTCACCGTCTTAAAGTCATCAAGCCAAAGCTGCTCCATCTGCTGAGTGGGCGTGTCTGACTGACAGGAAAGGTGACATTCACCTGGGGTGTCTCTCTGTATAGTGGGCTGAACGCTATGCAAACAGGCAGGCGCTGGACCACTGGCTCCAACACAAAGGTTTCAGCCAACGAAGGGCTCACCCACAATCAGCCACTGTCTCCCACAAACAACCCCGCCACTGTCGTCCAAAGGGGTGTCAAAGGAAACCGTCTGACTTACGCATTCCAGACTTACGCATTCCGGACAGACGCTCGACGTAGACACAACCACAGATACAATCAGTGGCTTCAAAGGAAATCTAGTCCGAGGAGCTGACTCTGGTCTGATAAGCGAGCTGTGGGTTCAGCCTTTTAAAGAACACTAATCCACCGCGTTCAGCGGCAAGAAGCATATGTGAGTTCATTTTCAAAGTCCATCACACCATATAGCGATTTGCTTACTAACGGTGTGGGGAACAGCTGTGACTGTAGGGTATCAACATCTGTCATCCTCCCCCCAATACAAAGATGCATTAAACATAAATTACCACAAATATTTGAACTTGAACTTGCGTTGCAGACACATATTCCTACCTGGGGAAATGAGAACTGCTGGGACGTTTGAAGTTTTATTACTTTTTAATAAAAATATTTATAGCTCAGGGATACTTGTTATTCACGGGTCAGAATTATTAGACTAGTGGAATAATAAATCCACATTACCACCCTCTTATTTTCTGATAAATTTTAGAGAGCAAAAGAATTTTAGCAGTAAGACTGATGTCTTACTGCTTACACAGGAACAAACTCTCACTGTCCATGGCTAGAATGTCTGTTTTTACTCACTACCTGGAATACTGGCAAGGCTGCCTCAGCACAATCCCAAGTGTCAGGGAAGGCTAGGGAGGCAGTGGGTACGGCTGTTTAGTCTCTAAACCTGTCCGACTCTTTGCCACCCCACACACTGCAGCCCACCAGGCTCCTCTGGCCATGGGATTTCCCAGGTGAGGATACTGGAGTGGTTTGCCGTTTCCTTCTCCAGGGGATCTTCCCAACCCAGGCATTGAACCCACGGCTCCTACCACGGATCCTGCATTGCAGGCCGACTGTTCTATCCCTGAACCACCGGGGAAATTCCCCAGGGAAGGTAGACTGACTGCCAAAACAAGTGCCCCCAGGCCTCCCTGGCTAACGCCGTGTGGTTTAACGCCTTCACACTGCGGCCCAACACAGTCTGGCACCCGAGGCTCTGCTCCACGCAGTCATGCAGGGCTCAGGCTCCTTCCCCCTGTGACTCCCCCAGACTCCAGGGCTTCACGGTTCTCCCCGGCCCCCTGCAGCTGGCCAGCAGACCAGGAAGAGAGCTGATGGGCAGGAGCACCCCTCCTCTCGGCACCTCTCATTCCCACACACGTCCTCTTGGTGAGAACCAGTCACGTGGCCCTGCCTCGATGCGGAAAGCAGCCCCGTACAGTGGGTGTCAACTGGGGCAACTCTGACTCTCAAGGGGCACGTGGCAACATCTGGAGACATCCTTGGCCGCCCAGCTGGGTAACAAGCACCCAGAGGGCAGGGCCCAGGGACGCGCCCCCGGGCACAGGACAGTCTCCCCACAACAGAGAGTCAACCAGCCCCAAACGGCGATAATGCTGAGACTCTGGTAAGCATCGAGCCAGCGTCCAGAACCACACACACATCAGCGCTTGGATCCTCCACCGTTTCCCACAACCATACATTCTCACCAATCCCAGCAAATCCATGTATCGATGGTCTGTTCATCCGCTCACTTGCTGGTTCCTCCATTCACTCACCCAAGCTCCTAAACAAGACAAAGTCCCACAGTCAAAGAATTCACAGTGGAGCAGCGGAGGCAAGCATTTGTAGAACTATCAGATATGCGGATAAGTGGGATTTAAGGGAAAAAATGCAAGGAAAATTTAATTTTGAGAGAGTTGGAAGAGAATCCATAGGGCAAGTGGAACAGGAAAGATGTCTTGAAGGAAGCGTATACTCATGGTTTTCCATCAGAAAGCTGTGTTTTTATTGGCAGGGAGGGGTAGACAGAAAAAGTGGTTCCAGGAAAAAGGTAACTGCAAAAACAAAGGAATGCCAATGCGAAAGGATATGATTTATGCCCTTTTTGTTTGAGGGGAAAAGAGGAACTAGGAGAGGAAGGTGAGTAAAAAATGCCTGTTTATTCAATGTTTTTTAGCAATGTATTCATGAAAGTCTCAAGTTCCCAGCCACACATACTGGCTGTCAGTCAAGTGGTCTTTAGAGAAACACTTCCCACCGTCAGACTCCATAGGAACTTGTTAGCACAGGGCAAAGTCAGGTAATAGCCGGAAACCTCACTGCAAATTTCCCAACAGGACCTGTCGGGGAGTCTTCCAAACCACGCTGCCTCCAAGCCAAGGTGCGACTGACTCAGGCAGATGGCTGACCAAACACATCCATCCTTGCTCCCAAGACAGGACAGGGCAGAAGGCAGAGCTCCTCCCAAATCACACTGCACGGAGCCTGCTGGGTCCCAACAGAAAAGGGTTGCTTCTTCCCATCTTTAGTCCCAGTTGTGAAAGTGGCTCCCGGCTCCCCAGCACAGTCTCCCCCGGTTCCTATCCTGGCTTTGGCGTAAATTCACTGTGTGACCTTGAAGAAGTTACATAAGTTTCCAGAATCTTAGGAAACTTCCCTCCCAAATAATATGCTTAAAACTCTCAGCACTTCACCTGAAACAGATAATAAACATATCTACCATAGCCATCTCCTCCCCCCCCAAAACTGTCCTTCAACTGTCATAAAATATACTGTAGAATCCAACCGAGCTTGGGAAAAAAAAGCACCTGATGAACTTTCATGTTGTTTTGTAGATTATTAATAGCAACTTCAATTTGCTTGGGCAAGATGCTATTAATTACAAACCAATATCACCATGTAAACAATGGTAATTCTTATTTTTAAAGCTAAAGTTAAAATTTTAAGAATACCATAGTCCCATGCAATTATTTACCCTCATTGTTCTTTTCACTCATTTTTCCTCCCCCAAACTCTTGTCTCTAACTCTTCTTTTTCTCTGGACCAGCTTTGGGAAAACAAAGTGTATCTAATAGTGCACAGATTATACTGAACGACACTAGCCTCATAAAAGATATTTGCTTCTTTTCAAGTCAGAATCTCTAAAGAAAAGTTAAAAGGAGAAGGAAGCATGACTTCAGAACCCAGAGGAAAGTCAGCCTGTTCAGAACCGCTTCCTCCTACGGTGAGGGGAGGCATCTAGGGTCCCGGCGAAGTCAATCCCAACCACCTTCACAAAAAGTGGAAAAAGAAGCACATGGCAATGCCTTTTGCAGTCAGTCAAGAACAAGGAATAAAACAAAAGCCAAGCCAACCAGAAGAATGAGGCTGAATCACACTTAGACTTCAAAATTGATTATCACTGCCCTCCTAATTTACAAGGAACTCTAAATTGCCTGGACAGCGTCTTCTTCAATTTCCACTGCAGATTGGACTTGACCCCAAGAAGATGTTATTTTAAGGAGTACATTAAAGAGAGGGCTTGGCATCTGCATGGACAGATTTCACAAACAAGGTATAATCAGTCTAGAGTCAAATCTGATGTGTTCTTTTTAACTTCTTAGTAAAGACATTTTTCCTTGTACATCAGTGAACTTCTTGTAGGGAAGTATGACTGGCCTGAGATGCAATTCTCAAAGACCTCATTTATTATTCTTATATAAACTTAAGGTGTATGAACAATTAACTTTTGAGAGCTCTGACTCCACTGTTAGGAAAAAAAAAGTAAACTATGGATTCTGCAATGAAACACTGTCTGAACTAATATTCAGCATTTTGTGTGTAGAAATAAACACAATTTTAGTCAATGAATTCTGTTTCCAAGATTCCTCTTCCACAGACAAACTGCTTCCCTTCTTCTTAGGTGAAGTAAGAAACCATGAAGAAATCTGTCTTATCAGGAACATGAGGGATGTGAGTTCTCAGTGTACACGATGATGAAACGGGAGTCTGATGGGAAGGTGATGTAAACGTCTGACAATTGCCCTTGGGTGCTCCGCGCATGAGATTTACAGAACTGGCAACCAGCAAACTAATCACTGTTTCTGGCAGTTTGTTGCAGGTCTTAACATCCCCAGATAAACAGCTAACACTTCTCAAGAAGAAACAGAAAACAAAGGATTATCACTTGAAGCCGCAGCTAAAGACTAGAAAAATCTACGGCTTACCTAAGAGCCTGATCAGGTTGCCAGCAACCAACCCTCCAAATGAAGATTCCGAAAGCGGGGACGCCAGCCAACGGAAGCCCAGCTCTGGATGCTGCCACCCAGGCTCTCGGAGCCAGGTGTGGTCCCCTGCCAACCCCCGCTTGGAATTAACAGACTCAGCAGGAAATCCCTCCCAACCCCTGGGAGGAAAGTACTGTGTACACAAATGCCCCATCACAGCCCACTCCACCATCACGTGTGCACGACGGGCTCGCTCCAGAAGCATGCCCACTGCAACAAAAGACAAGGCAACTCATCTGCCGGTGGCTGGCGTTTCCACCAAGAAGAAAAAGACACAGGTTGAGAAGCGCCTAAGCTCCTCAATAATAACAAATGCACTCGGATATCAGCGCGATAAGGAAGCCAGAGCGGATCTCGGCGTGCACATTTTCAAGTTAGGGCCCAGACTCAAATCCAGCCTGAACTGGAACCCAGCTCTCAAAGCTGTTTCTGAAGATTACATTGATTGCAGCATTCCTTCAACAAGTACTTACTGAACGTCTCCTATGTACCAAGCTCTGGGCAACAGCCCTACCGAGCACACAGCAAGCACCACTGACCAAGGGGAACTTTTTAAAGATTTCATTAACTTTCCAGTTTACACTGTCCAGCTTCTGTGGCTTTATTAAAGTGCTCTCTTCTTTAAAGTAACACTAATGCTAATACAGATTCCACCCAAAAGCAGATGCCTAAATAAAGAGGCTGACCAGCCACGCGGGCTTCTCCATCCTTCCCCGCTCGGTTCTCTCCTGCCCATTCCCTTCCGATGGCCATGTCCCTAACGATGTGAAAGACCTACAAAGCCCGCTTCAGGACGCAAACAACGACCGTGGCACAAGGGCAGGACCCCGAAGTAGGGTGACCAGCTGGTCCCAGGTTTCCTGGGACTCTTCTGGTTTTTAAAATGTAAGTCCTTCCACCCAAGTACCCTCTTCGTCCTGGACGACCGAGTCGGTGGGTCTCCCTACCCCTAAGAAAGCACACCCCAGCAAAGGCAGGCGCAGACGTTACAGGAGGTCCTTCACCTGCCTGAGTGAGGCCAGCGGGGAAAGGCATTTATCTGGTGCCCTGTAAGGAAAGCCTGTGAGCTATCTCAGATCCTCACGGCTTCCCTAGCATCTTCCTGAGAAGGTCTATCCACCTTCTCATCCTCCTGAGAAGGTCTATCATCTTAAACACCACGCCACTTAAGCAAAGCTTTACAAAGACTTTCCAATGACAGGACTCCAACTACACGACATACACAAGAAATCCTCACATAAATGCTGAAGGCTGTAGTTATAGGGATGTGGGTTTTTCCCTGGCTAGCTTCAGAGTTCCTTGAGTTTATACTGTAATTATTAATCCCAAGATTTCTGGAATTCAGCACCGAGACTGGGGTGGTAAATACTGAACAGAACAGACCTTACTGACAGCTGCCACACTGCACGGTGCTCTGACGGCAGGACAACACGCTGAGCACTTTATGGGAACTTTATACTCATGGTAACTCAATGAGGTTGACGGACCTCGGTTTTCCAGGTGAAGAAACCAAAGCTCGAGGTCATCATGGCAGAGTTCATATTTGAACCCAAACTATCTTGCTTCAAAAGCTCCATGTTTTCAACACTTCAACTGAATTAGGTTCAAGTAAGGTGGGCATATATATATATATATATATATATATATATATATATATATATAGTAACGGACCAAGAACTGAGAGGAGAGTACCAGATACATTTCTTTTATTCTCTCCACTTTTAGTTTTGCCATTGCAAGGGGAGAAAAAAAAGGCCGAAAACCAAATCGGCTATGAGTTAAGCTCACACATTAAGCTACGGCAAGGTTAGGATTTCAGTGAGAATTGAGCAGCACTGTGCCCGGCAAGCGGCAGACACTCAATATTTGGATAAATTTAATAAATACAACTGCATCCCTAACATAAGGCTTCAGTTACTGATGCTCAGGGTTTCCAAGGCTACTTAACCCACCGCCATAGGTGACTAGATGGACTCCTACCTGAAGCTTCTGAAGGTGGAGTGTGATGGAGCAGGAGGAGATGGACAGGCGCTCCTCCCGGTCACTGAGGGCTCCCTACCGCAGGGCTGAGTTAGCTATTACTCACTTAAAATGATGGTTATCCTCATGGATCATACAACAAAGGAGACAATTCTCTAAAAAAGGAACAGAGATCTATCCTCATGATCGCCAACCACTTTTAATCTCATTTCACCTCAAAGGAAGCAATCTGCAAACCTACAGAGCAACACAACTGCAGAAGAATATCACACTAAGCACTTTGGTTTTGAGACATTTATCTCCATTCCATTCATTATCCGTCAAACGGAGAACACTATGTTAATGTTAATGTATTCCTGGCCATTTTCTCCAAGCAGCTGAACACATTTCCTCTTTCACAATAGCACTATCCATAATGATCAAGCACTCCTATCATGTGAATGAGTATTCCAGAATCTAAAGAGGTGAGGGAAACCAGACGCTTCTCCCAAAGGCACTAATGGCCACAAGTGAACCAGGAGGCAGGTGGAGCAGCCAGCTGTGGGCAAAGGGTCACCACTCGTGTCAAACGCAAACCCAGTCTCCTCCTTGAGACTGTGGGCCAGCCTGTGAGGGTTTTGAGGTCTAATGCTTATGACTGTACGTCCCAAGAAGAGGAGGTTTTGGTTTGTTTTATTGTTGTTTTGCAAGAAACAGGCCAATTCAAGTTGAAAAACAGGCCACCAATGACAATTCATCTTGTTAGAACGATGGCTCTTTGAGAATGTCCACCTCCCGACCACTGGGACGCACGCACTGCATGGTGCCAGCTCTAACCCAACTCAACACCTCCTCGCTATTAGTGCTGGCCGGGGGAGCTCTAGAAGTGAGGGTCTCTCTTCTTAACTTCCTTTAATTCCACAGGCCGAAAGCATCTACAACTCCCTTATCCCAGTACGTCAAAACTGTTTCTCTGTTATCAATGATTTAGTATTTATTGAGCCCTTACTTTGTGCAAACATGGTGGGCAATACAAAATAGGGTCAAACTTCATCTAGTCTTCATCTTCAAGGAAATTATAAGAGAACTGAGATTCTGCTGTCTCCATCTCTGCACATGCCAGCCCGCAGACCCCTTGGAAAGAACTGTACCCCTAACCCTTCTCCCCCAGCTGAGCAATGACTTGTGATATGTGGTCTGATGACCACATATGAATGAATGAATATTGAGTGAAATGAGAGACAGGCAATTTTTCCAAAGAATGCTGGAGGAAGTCAAGGATCACTATGAACTAAAATGATGGAGTTAAACTTTTTAGGAGAGTTAAGAGCTGAGTCACCTTTAATGACTGGGTATCATGTGGGAGAGGACATTGCAGGCCACAGAATATTCCAGAATTAAGAAATAGGCTATGGAAAGCATTTTGGGGGACTAGTAGGCTAACCATTCCAGTTAATGTGGTGTTTTCAAGCCAGGCAGAGCAAAAGTCAAAGTTGGACAGGAAGTTGGGGGTGGGAAAGCCAGGTGTGAGAGTTCTCAGCTAGGAGGGAGAAATCAAGGAAGATGTGGGAATTGTCACTAAAGATGCCCAGTTCATCTGTTAAAAAGCAGAACACCAACGCCAAAAACCATGGTCCCTGCTTGCACAGCATATATTTACACAGTATCTCTCAAAGCTTTTACCAAAATCTCATCAGTTCTCATAGAACCTCAGTGAAGAGTACATGATGTGTGGTTATCTGGATTTATTAACGGAAAGTGAGGCAGAAAAGTTACATTTCCCTTGGAAGGTAGGAATAAGATGGGGATAGGGGTGGGGGTCATAGAAAGAGACAACGCAAGCACAGTACACAGTGTCCATAGATTCCATTTCATCACGACTTCATCCCACCAGCAGCCCATCTGTATCTGATCATCCCCTTCCTTGCCTGAAGCCTGCTCCCCCAGGAATCCCATGTGATGTTAGAATAACCTTTACCACACAGGATGTGGCAATGAGCTTCACCCATGCAGGATTTATAAATCAAGTGGAAAATAAGGCATCCTTTCCACTCAGCCCTGCACTCCCAGCAGACCACAGATATCCCGCAGCCCTGCCACCCCAACACACACACACACACACACACACACACACACACACAACTCCCACAAAGAATGTGCTCCAAGGCCACGGCAGACACATCAAGGCTCCACCAGGAAATCCCAGGCCTCAATAACTACCCAAAGGAAATGCAAGTCCCATCTACAGAGGATGACTCTGTCCTTAAAAATGACAGTAAGTCAACTGGAAGAAGAAAACCCTAAACGACATAACAAGTACTTATTTCATCCTGGAATACAGGGTGCAGCTCCCAAAGCCCTGAAGAAGGGTCCCAAACCCCAGCACCTCCTCCCTTCCAGCTTCCACGACACAGAGACCCACGCGCCGGCAGCCACATGCCCTCCACCAGCGTCTTCGGCCTCGATGGCCAACTTCATGGTGAAAGTAAAACAGTAGGAACTCAGAGGCCAAACATGATAGAGACATGTATTTCAGAGCTTCCCAGAGACCTTTCCAGACCAGTTCCCAGGGCTTCACTCCCCCCCTGGCTCACTCTGCACCTCATCCTTTGCTGGGTCCTGGGGGTCTCGTGTGAATCTGCACCTGGATCTCCCACGGGTTTCTCACCTCTCATCTCTACGTCTGAGCCCCGGTGGGTGCACTCCTTTGTCCCTCAAGGGAGCTGGACTGGAGAGCAGCCTCTGGACTTTCAGTCAACACTGAAAGTCACTGTGAGTCACGGGCCAGCGGCCAGTTTACCATAGCACTTGTCTGCAAAGTCGTTTTTGTTCAGTCACATCTGACTCTTTGCAACATATGGACAGCAGCACATCTACAGAGAGCCGTCTGTAAAGACAACCTCAACCACATGATTACTGACCAGAATCAGCACTATCTTATACAATTCCATACTCATGCTAAAGTGAAAGTGAAGTCGCTCAGTCGTGTCCAACTGTTTGCGACCCCATGGACTGTAGCCCACCAGGCTCCTCTGTCCATGGAATTTTCCAGGCAAGAATACTGGAGTGGGTTGCCATTTCCTTCTTCAGGGGATCTTCACAAGCCAGGGATCGAACCCAGGTCTCCTGCATTGTAGGCAGATGCTTTACCATCTGAGCCACCAGGGAAGTCTCCTTATGCTAAAGGGACATGTCAAACCCTAGACATTCTAACCGATGAATTCCTGTATCGCAGCAAAGATGCTTGAGGGACCAGCACTCCGCACAGCACAATCTCAACACTCCAGCAGCTGCTTAGCCTGCAGCCCCTCACAAGGCCCGTTCCCCAGCGCCCAGCGGTCTTTAAGGAGGGTGGAGCCAGGGAGACTTAAAAACTCACCATCCTCACAGTCAGCGAGGTCGCTGATGAAAGTCTAAATGTCCCGAAACTCTCAGGTGTTGCTCTATCAGCCCTGTGACCAGGAAATGCCTCCTACCCAAATTCGTTCTTCTAAACATCAAAAGGTGACCCACAGCT